TTCGCAAAACGACAGGCCAAAGTCTCCTGATTAAACCGACATACGACACGTTACCCGATCGCATTTTTTAAACTCGGCAGATTAGAAAATTCAAAGATATGCACACATTTTTAGTTTGACGTTTCAATTTTGAATTTCCCCTCCAGATCCCCGGATTCCTGTTAGGCGGGGTATTGTAGATACGATCGTATTACGAAGCGAGCGAGCGAGTGCGAGCGGAACGTCAAAAACGTGCCATTTTCGGCTTCATGACTATCGCTTCATCCAATATTGGATCACGCCAAATAGAATTGTCCTTTTTTGCGCGTGAAAATCAACATTTTCGAAAAGATTCAAAATTTCTATATTCCATTGTCTAAACGGACCGGACTAGAGCCATTAAAATCGGATGAATCTAGTAGTTTTTTATTTTACAGATTGCGATGTCTACCGCCAAAGGCTGCAATTATTCTTTGACGTTCATCAATTTATTGAAATCATCATCGGTTTATAAATACGATAAAAATATGATTGTAAGCCCCTATTCATGTTATAATTTTACAATATGGCATAAAGCTCCGCTTTTCAACCGATTGATATAAAGCGTATGTCTGATTGCATCACTGCATCATTCTAACCTACAATGTATGAATGTAAACATTATCGAAATCTTAACAATGAGGCTCCCGTTAATAAGGATTAATTAGAAGCTTAGAACAAGCAATCGCAGCTACAAATAGTGAAAGTGTTGTGTGAAGTGTTTACAGTTTATGTGTTTCTATTGCAAACGTAAGTAGTCAGTCACTTCTATGAAGTTCAGTAAGAGTTCAGTCTTGACCCTCAGTTCAATGTCTAAATATGTAGACCTATTAGCTGGCTAACAGTGGCACATATTATCAAGCAGATGAAGGAATATGCAAAGCGCTGAAAAATAGCATTGATAATCATATCTACTACCAAAGTTTTCAAAATTACTAAGACTTTCACAGCCACTGCAGTTGTTTATTTTGATCTCAATGCAGAATGTATGTACTTCGATTTAGAATGTAGCTGCTTTAAGGACTTGTCACTTCCAAGACTTGTCAAAACAACAGACACCATTACTTGTCAAAAAACTATAGCACTTGATGATTTCAAATTTCTATTCTGTTTTTAAAGATGTTATTATTATATGTCTAATTTCAAGGATACTCACATCTGTCCTGTTTCTAAGACTGATCTTAATCATAGATTACAGAAAAATTCATTATTGAATCAGAGGAAACAGATTACAAAATTTGATTTTCAAGCGATACTATTACTTACTGTCCAACAACTATAGTACTTAATAATTTCAAGCTTCTGGTCTAATTTTTGAGATTATTATTATATGTCATGTTTCTAATTGATTGATCATAATCATACAACATTAAAAAAAATAGAGGAAATTTTATTTTAAGCGATAGCACATTTTTCTCCAGATCATAAAGCGAGCATTGTTCATCTGCTTCTGTTGAATTTTTCCCAAACGAAGAACTTTACCACCAACAAACTCATAAATATTGTAAAAACCTTGTAGTAGTAGTATCTCACCTGAGTAGTATGTATAAATGGAAAATAAGTAAACAAACTTGTCATCTATCCCTTCGATTGGCAAATATTATCAAGCAGATGAAGGAATATGCAAAGCGCTGAAAAATAGCATTGATAATCATATCTACTACCAAAGTTTTCAAAATTACTAAGACTTTCACAGCCACTGCAGTTGTTTATTTTGATCTAAATCGATTTAGAATGTAGCTGCTTTAAGAACTTGTGACTTCCAAGACTTGTCAAAACAACAGACACCATTACTTGTCAAAATTTGTAAGATAAGTACTCTTGCACAGTATAATCGTAACTTGGTATAGACATATTTGTGATATCGCTTAGATTAAGCCTGCCAGGGGAGTGAAAGTTACTATACGAGTACTGAACTCTACATTAAAATAATTTATGATGCCATGTGTTGTATCTAAACTATTTTTATTTTTGCAGATCACATAATTATTACATACATCCCTTAAAAGGGCCCAATTTGAAGTAACATATTATAGAGTTCAATTTTCACATTGTTGTTATTTTTACGGGTTCTTCTTACTGGCGATGGAAAGTTCAATTGCTTCTCCCTATTATACCTAAACAATGTAGGTCTATTTTCTTTTTTCCCATCCACAAAGTGACAACTACATAAGTATGCACCAGGACCTGGTTCAACAACTGTTCTCCTGCAATAAATAGTAAAAATAAGACAAAAGTTCAATTTGAAAATATCCTATCAAAGAACGGTAGCTCATGTAAATAGCAATATCTAAATACAGCATTTTTTATAAGCAAGATACACACACATTAGCGGATCGCTCAGTTACATACCTGCTTGTAAACTAACGGCCTTATTTTCAACAAAAATTGTTTTAAAACTCCACTTTAACCACTTGATACGGAAGAAGTTTTCTCAAGGTGTTTATGTTTACTTTTTTTTAGTTTTACGGATATCCTTACTATGATATTTAGGAATTAACTTTCAGAATCTTAATTTTTTCCTTTCATTATGTTGTAGATGCACACATCTCACAATAGGAGTTATTGAATTTTAATTTAAACAAAATAGAGAGATATTGCATATGGACCTAAATAAGGGTATGCATTATTTAGGTGAACCTAAATAAGTACAGTGGAATTAGAGATATTGCACATGTAACGTATTTTGACAGTTCGCTTTGATGGTGTTTATCTTAACCTCACTTTTCCTTCCAGTTTTGCTTGCATAATATAGGTGGTTCGTAGTTGAAATTCTACCAAAGGTGTGAGAAGTGAGATTGTAAATGGAAGCTGAATTGAAGCAGTTATATTGGCAGGAGCAGATGAGGAGGAAATAGAACATATCATCCTCCATAATATATTTATTGATAGAGGCATTACTCATACAGCACAATTCAACTTGGAAAACTTGCCAGATGAAGTAATAAGACTAAATTTTCGATTTGAGAGGTCTGACCTTCATAGGCTGATGCTGTTTTACGAATACCTTCAGAAATTGTCACTATCACACGTAATAAAGTGGATGGTATGATTTTGTTTAAATATTTATTGCTATATGTTCATCATTTCAATCGAACTCCATCCTCTGACTCAAACAACACTTGCCAGAGGCTGGAATTCTATCAACATGAAAACCACAGTATAAGTTCCATTTATCTTCTTTCAGGTTTAACAGCATTGTGCATTCTACTAAGACGGCTGGCATATCCAAACAGATTGTGTGATATGGTCCCTATGTTCCACTTGTCAACTCAGTCTTTGTCACAAATCATAAATAAATTGATAAGTGTGATTATGGAGGAGCATGCTGTACTTCTCAACAATTTGAATTCATTGCAGTGGTTTAATAGGGAGAAGTTGGAGTATTATGCACAGGTATTGTATTGTGTAATATAGTTGAAGTGATGGTTGGTTCATAAAATGCTGAAATGTGCTTTTTGTAGGCTATTCATAATAAAGGAGCACCTATGAATAATTGTTGGGGTTTCATCGATGGTACAGCAAGGAAAATTTGTCGACCCTCTGAAAATCAAGAAGAGTATTATTCAGGACACAAAGGTATCACTGCATAAAATTCCAATCAATAATTTGTCCTGATGGAATTATTGTTAGTTTGAAAGGCGCATATCCGGGAAGAAGGCATGATGCCAGAATATTTAGGGAGTCAGGTATCTCTGAAGAATTAGTGCAAAAGACATGTTTTGACACAAGACGATTTGTTTTATTTGGTGATCAAGGATATGGGCTGAGTGATGTGCTATTTACCCCATTTCATGGCAGAATGGAAGATTTACCTGCCCATCAGCAGAGTTTCAATTCTGCTATGAAAGTTCTAAGGATAGCAGTAGAATGGGGTTTTCAGAAAGTCATATCAGAATTTGCCTTTGTAGATTTTTCAAAAACCAAAAAATGCTACTTCAAGACGTTGATGCTTTATACAAGGTGGCTGTACTACTTACTAACTGCCATACATGCCTGTATAGTAGTCAGACTGCTATGTATTTCAATACAAATCCACCTTCACTTGAGACCTACATAGGCCACTGATAAATAGAGGACATTTTGGGTTTGAAATACTCGTTTGCTTTCCATCGCCGCAGCCAAGACCAACCGCAGGACAGCGCTGTTTCGGGCTCTTTAGCCCTCATCAGTATGGTATAGGTCTGTATCAGGTCCAGCCGTGAAGGCGGACAAATGGAAAGTAAACAAGCGAATGTGGTCTATCAAATAGCGGGAAGACGGTAAATGTAAAAGATGGCTCGCGCCATCTAAATTTCGCTAGAACTAGTTTCTTTGCAATGGAAAGCAACGAGTATATCAGACTATATTATTGCATGTTCTGCAGAAAATGCTATTGTTAGTTTGTCCTGTGAACGCCTTGCGTTACGACTCTGGTGGCCGGCTACTGTTGGTTGGTACCGGGGGTATCTGTACTCTGTACAATTCATCTGAGTCAGCGACCAGAAATCGTAAGGGGTTTCTGCTTTGCCTGCGTCGTCATTGACGAAACTTGCAAAGAAACTATCTCTAGCGCAAATTTAGATGGCGCTAGCCATCTTTTACATCTAAATTTTGGGTTGTTTCTAACTTGTAACGCTTGATGATAATTTGTAATTTTTTATAGACTTGTAAGACCAATAAAGCTTGTTTGGAATGTATGTTTATTTATTTTACAACCATAGGGCAGCAAGCACCCAATAAGAGATTTCAAAACTAAATTAGTATGTTGCTGAAAATATATGAAATCAACTTCTTCAGGAGTTGTGGATGAAATATGTTTGATCCTGAAGTTACACAGTTTTACTATGTTCATACATGGAACCAGTTGCAGAATCAATTTCATATATTTTCGGCAACAAACTTGGTTTGTGCTCACCATCCTTAGCATCAACATTATTATTTCAATATAAGGCCAGTATATTATTTTTTTAATGGCAAATTATCTATTATCAAGTTTTGTCAGTAATGCTTCAATAAGCTTTTGTTGTGTTTTGATGAGGTCACTCAAGTTTTTCTTTCAGCGACATCTTGCTCAGATTTCTTTTGTTCTAACTCTATCCTATGTTTTTTTCTTGAATTTCTGCCTCAAGCCTTTTAGACTCCAAGGCAAGTCTTGCTTTGTCATTTGCAATTTTTTCTTTTTCATTATCCATTTTTTGTTCTTCTAACTTGAGTTCTGCAGATCTTATTTCTCGTGATATTTCCGCTTTTTCTCGTAGGTAATCAAGGCCATTTTTTCTCAATGTTTTACTTTTGTTCATCCTTTTGGTACGGGGGGCTGTAATGATCGAAAAGTAAGTAACAGCAACAATAAACAAATGTATTTAATCTTGAACATGAAATGTAAGAGGTAGTTTTGAGCTTTCTGTTTTATAGGTAATGTATAACATACTAGAAACTACTTAATCTAGTAGTAGCCCTCTGAATGGGATGCCATGGCAATGCTATATACGCTGTAGTCATCTGGATCCACTATTTGGTTAGTCTGGCCTGTAATAAAACCGCAGTTGCTAAACAAAAGAAGTTCACTGACAGGTAGTCATTGCACTGGCTTTTATCAAAGTATATAACATAAGTACCTACACATTTTATATCGAGCACTGGTTTTATTTACTGGTCATACTCCATAACCTGTGGATCTGTTTTAGTGTTTCTATTACTGAAGATTCAAGCAGTAATTCTAATCATTGTTTTACCTGATATCTGTTTTGCAGTTCCAACATCTTGTACAGATATCTGTTTTGCAGTTCCAACATCTTGTACAGATATCTGTTTTGCAGTTCCAACATCTTGTACAGATATCTGTTTTGCAGTTCCAACATCTTGTACAGATATCTGTTTTGCAGTTCCAACATCTTGTACAGACTTATTATTATTTTCTGTGTCAACGTCGACTGTAACACAAACACCTAAAACTGTGATAATATAGTAATATGTATAAAAATGTTTAGAATAGTTATTTTACCGTAATCATGGTCGATTAAAGTGTCATCCACATCAGAAAGGCCAGCAGTGCCATAGCCTCTCTTTCATTGCGTGTCTTTTCAATCATATCTTTCGCTTTGTTTTCCACTTTTTTCTTTTTTGCTGGTGTAGTTGAGCAGGTCTCTTTCATTAACTCGCTGGCTTCTTGGAGCATATGTTCTCTTTCATTATAGACTTCTTCTATGCCAGACCTGTCAAACACAAATGTTGTTTCACCAAGTCTTACATTAAGCATTCTCTTGTTATTAAAATACATGTAGGTACAGTGTGCTATCTTATACTTACTTGACTTTGCTGTTAACCTCCTTTTGAGGAACAGCTCCAGAAGATGGTTCAGATGCTTTTTTATTGTCTCAAAATAAATTCTTTCCCGTAAGCTCTCGCAAGTTCTGTAAGATTGAGTCCCACTTCTCAGGAGAACGGATAGGGTTTTGTGCAATAAATTCACGCAGCAAAATCATTTCGTCGTCATACGTGAACCTTATTCTCTTTTTATCCATATTCATAGTTACCAACACGCTTCAGCAATCGTTGAATTTGAGAGTACAAATTTATAGGTTAAATAGGCTTGCGACGACACCCGATTTGCTTAGATCGTGAATCGTCGTGACATAAGAACGCCTAAATAAGCTCCCCCTATTATAGCTTAAATAAGGACGTGCCTTATCCCTATTAATTCCTCAATAGATACAGGAATTGTATGTGGCGCATTGCGTAGATGTCAAAATAAGGTTGCACTAATAAGGCAGATGTTGCAATATCTCCCTAATACATTTCATCATTTCCAGGTTAGAAAAATATACCTATGACAATGGACATTGACATTACAAACAGAAAACATATACACTGAAGAAGAAGCATAGTCAACTGCTATCCATAGACGAACACGGTTGACATATGTCAGTGTCAAGCGCCATTTTTTTGCAAGTCGTGTTATAGCTAGATTTATGCGACGATCCTCAATAAATCTAAGTCTGCTATACAATTTGCTACATGGAAGATTTTATAACGCCATGTATGGTATTAACAACAACACATGCGACGTTGCCGGCATCTCACATAAATCTGAGTCTGTATACAATTGTATACAGGATATTTCAATGCTATATGGAAATAACAGATAACAGGTAAAGGGGGTAACAGGTAACAGGTGGTAACATAACAGATAAAGAGAACTATAACAGATAAAAGATGACAGAGAACAGAGAAAAGTAACAGATAAAAGAACAGATAACAAATAACTGATACTGAAAACTAAAAAATGAAAACGGAAATCTGAAGAATGAAAAAAAAAATTGAAAATTGAAAAAAAAAAAAATCAAAAATCAAAAAATCAAATCGAAAAATCGAAAAATCGAAAAATCGAAAAATCGAAATCGAATCGAAAAAATCGAATAATCGAAAAATCGAAAAATCGAAAAACCAAAAAAAAATCGAAAAATCGAAAAAATCGAAAAAATCGAAAAATCGAAAAATCGAAAAATCGAAAAAGCTGAAAAATCGAAAAATAAAAAATACAAAAATCAAAAAATCTAAAATCGAAAAAGCTAAAAATCGAAAATCGAAAAATCTAAAATCTAAAATCTAAAAATCTAAAAATCTAAAAATCTAAAAATCTAAAAATCTAAAAAATCTAAAAATCTAAAAATCAAAATCTAAAAATCTAAAAATCAAAAATCTAAAAATCTAAAAATCAAAATCTAAAATCTAAAATCTAAAATCTAAAAAATCAAAAATAAAAATCTAAAAATCGAAAAATCTAAAAATCTAAAAATCTAAAATCTAAAAATAAAAATCTAAAAATCTAAAAATCTAAAAATCTAAAAATCTAAAAATCTAAAAATCTAAAATCTAAAAATCTAAAATCTAAAAATCTAAAAATCTAAAAATCTAAAAATCTAAAAATCTAAAAATCTAAAATCTAAAAATCTAAAAATCTAAAAATTAAAAAATTAAAAATTGAAAAATTGAAAATTGAAAATTGAAAAATTGAAAATTGAAAATTGAAAATTGAAAATTGAAATTGAAAATTGAAAATTGAAAATTGAAAATTGAAAATTGAAAAATTGAAAATTGAAAATTGAAAATTGAAAATTGAAATTGAAAATTGAAAAATTGAAAATTGAAAATGAAAATTGAAAATTGAAAATTGAAAATTGAAAATTGAAATTGAAAATTGAAAATTGAAAATTGAAAATTGAAAATTGAAAATTGAAAATTAAAAATTAAAAATTAAAATTAAATTAAAATAGAAAAATTAAAAATGAAAAATGAAAAATGAAAACTGATAACCAGATACCAGACACCAGATACCAGACACCAGATACCAGATACCAGACACCAACACCAGATACCAGACATCAGATACCAGATAAAGAGATAACAGATACCAAATACCAGATACCAGACACAGACCAGATACCAGACACCAGAAGCCAGATCAGATACGAGATACAGATACAGATACCAGATACCAGACACCAGACACCAGACACCAGATACCAGATACACACAACCAGACACCAGATACCAGTACCAGTCATCAGATACCAGACCACAGAAACCAGATACCAGATACGAGATACCAAATACCAGATACCAGATACCAGAACCAGACACCAGATACCAGATACCAAACACCAGATACGAGATACCAGATACCGATACCAGATACCAGCCACCAGATACCAGACACCAGAAACCAGATACCAGATAAAGAGATAACATATACCAAATACCAGATACCAGACACCAGATACCAGACACCAGATACCAGACACCAGATACCAGACACAGATACCAGACACCAGATACCAGACACAGATACCAGACATCAGTACCAGACACCAGATACCAGATACCAACATCAGATACCAGATACCAGATACCGATACCAGATACAGATACCAGATACCAGATACCAGATCCAGACACCAGTACCAGACACCAGATACCAGACACCAGATACCAGACACCAGATACCAGACACCAGAACAGAACCAG